TTGGTACCGGGGATCGAACTCAGGTCCTTGCGCTTGCAAGGCAGCCACCGAACCGCTGAGCTAAATCCCTGGCCCCAAGAAGATCCTTCTTAACACAGCTGATAGCTAGAGCTACACAGCTCCCCTCTGCGCTCACAACACTTGTGCTGCACGAGGCCAGGATCTACATACATGACCAGGCTCACTGGTGGCGAGGAAACATATATTCATTAGGGTAGCTCACTCTCTTGGCTTCCCTGGTACCAGCCAGGATTTTTACCCACGTCCTGGATCTACATTCATGCCCTGTATGACTGTTCTGCTGAGCACAGAGCTGCCCCTAAAAAGCTCTCTGCTCAACAGAATGGCATGCTAGAGTAAGAACTGCAGGAGTAGAAGCAGGAAATCCTGCAGCTGTGAATTGTCTCAGGGAATTCACTGGGGAAGCTGGAGCTGGAGGCCCAGATATGAAAAGGAGAAAGGTGGTGGATCTTTAATTCCTAGCCCTCATTTGTTCCAGGCCACAACACTAGAGCTCTAGGAAAACTGCCAAGGATTCTGGTATGGAAAATCTGACATCTGGGCCAGTCTCTAGGCTTGCGAGTCCTAGGGCCTCATTTTCCACATCTAAACAGTGAGTAGGAAACCCTCCCATCTATAAAGGATCATGCGCCCTGAAACTCAAAAATCACAGGCTCTACAGAGATCAGACCCCCACCATGACCCTTCAACCTGCTGAGATGACTGATGGCCTCCCCGACCAATAAAGAAAGAAGGTCAAGCCGAGGGGCGTGGCAGACGCGTCTGAATTCACCCATTACTTAAACCCAAACCAATCAGCGTCGAGCACCGCACGTGAGCGGGCATGCGCAACCTCTCGCCTAAGGCCTCCTCCCGCCTCGCATGCGCATCGCGCCGCAATGGAGAGGGAGAGAAAGGCGAGTTGGACACGAACCTTGGTTCCATCTTGAAAGTCAGGGAGTTCTCCCTGGCCCTCCAGTATCACACGCTTATGGATCCCGTCCTCTCGGAGTCTTGCGATGATATCCGCCATCCTCCTTCCCCGCTGCTCTCTTTCGGCAACTTCCGGACTCCTTCGGTAACTTCCCGACGTGCTTCGGCAACGCCGAGAATCTCGGCAACTTCCGAGCTAGCGCCATTTTGGCTGAGGGCAGAAGCCAAAAAGGGATTGAATGTGTAAGCAGACGGTGATTGGTTCTCTTCGCTGCGACTGAGTTCAGATCCGCCCAGGGCTGAGAGAGGCTTTAAGAACATTTTGGAATTTGGGCGACCGCCCGTCGAGGAGGCGGAACCTGGGCGGGCTCGGAGCGCGGCCCGGACGTCCCTGGCAATTGATTTGTGGACTCCTTGGGCCGGCGGTTCTCCCGCGTGGTGGTGCAGCCGCTTAAAGTTGTAGCTGCGGTTTAACAGCCCTGGAGTTAGGAAAGTGGAAAGAAAATGAAAGAAAAAAAGCGCACCCTGCAGTGCCACATCCTAAACCTACTACTATTGTTTTTATGTATTCTCTTCTGGCTGAGAGAGCGCGAGAGAGACCCGGGGTTGTACTTCAGTGGTACAGCTGTGGCCCAGCATGCGAAGAGGCCCTGGGTTTTATCAAGACACTAAGGGAGATTCGGAAGCGAATCTCTGCGCACCTCTGAATCCAGAGATGCTCAATAAATATTAAGGAATAGATGGGTGACAGAAATGAGCAACCATGGGGACTCAAATAGCATTTCTCTCTGCCTCTGGAAACTAGCTGTACACAACAGCTGTGGGAGTTTTCTGCTCCCACTTTCAAGGGTTGGGTAACCGAATAAGGGGAGCGCCTGGGGCCTCTGCACCATCTCCAGCCCTTCACCACGACTGTGAGGGATTATCGTCCTTCCCATGAGCCCCAGGTGCTAAGTGCTTCGCGAATTCATGCTGGTTTATTTTCCAACACGAAGTCCTCTGGAGAGGGACAGGACTTCTGTGGTGAAGGGAAAATGTGCTTGTTTGCGGGGGGCAGTCTGTTTGGTTTTAGTTTTTTTGTTGTCGTTTTACCAATACAGAAATTTTACAAATTTTGAGCAAAAACTAGTCTGTATCTCGAACAAATTGTTCCAGAAAGTAGAAAGTGGAGAGAAAGCCAACTAACCTGAAACTGGTGTGTGTGGGGGTTTTTTGTTTGTTTTTTGTTTTGTTTTTTTTGTACTGGGGATTGAACTCGGGTCCTTGCTCTTGCAAGGCAGGCCACCGAACCGCTGAGCTAAATCCTGGCCCCTGTTTTGTTTGTTTTTGAGAAAGGGTCTTGCTATATATATATATATATATATATAATTCCGGCTGCCCTTGAACCCACACTGTACCCAGGCTTGAACATACAGGCATGTGCCACCACTCCCAAGACTGGTTTTATCTTGGTTCCTGAGCCAGATAGGCACAAGGCAAATGAAATATACACCTTTTACTAATAAATATAGATATAAAATATTAAGCTAGAGGCTGAGGGTGTAGCTCATTGGTTGAGCACTTGCCTGACTTGTGGGAGGCTCTGAGTTAGATCTCCACCAGAAAAAAGAAAAGGCTAATTTAATCCCCCAGTTTATAGAAAAATGCCATCTCCACAATGCTTTGGATTTTGTATCTTGCAACATTGAAACTACACTCATTTCTAAACTCTAAGGTCCGGCCAGGGATTAAGCTCAGTGGTGCTGCCACCTGCCTCACAATGGCAAAGACCAGAGTTCCATCCTCAGCACCAAAAAAAAAAAAAAAAACAAACAGTATCATTGGTATAGGGCCAGGGATTTAGCTCAGTTGTTCCACAGCCTGCCTCAGAACTCTAAGATCAAGTGTTAAACTCTCCACTATCCCTACTCTTCTACTTTCGGTCTCTATGAATTGAGTAGTCAGATAGCTCTTAAAGTGGAATACAGTTTCTTCCTGTGTCTGATATTGCTCTGAGCATACTGGTGTATGGGGTGGTTAATCTCATTGCGCCAACTTCATTGCAGTAAGAACTGCCTAGCAGATCAGTACACTCATGGCTGTGGCTGTGTGTCTGGGTGGGTCACGGAGGAGTGACTTTGGGTACCCTACGTGGGCTTCACCTGTTCCTCTCTTCCATTGTTTCCCTGCTCTGCTTCCCTGCCAACATAAGCTAAGCAGCTCTGCTCTACCATGATGTTTCTACCTTGGAACCAGCCAACCATGAACTGAATCTTCTGTGACCTTGAGCCAAATTAAATCTCTGAAATTGTGGGTGTTGGGTATTGTGTCCCAGCAGTGGGAAAGCTGACTAAAACAATTTCTCAAGACCTAAACAATGTGAATAACTGAAGGGATTTATGTTGTTAATAAATCTAATAACATGATTCGATTGGAATTCAATAGTATCTGATACACTTTAGATCTAGAATGGCCCCACACACACGCACACACAGAGACTCGTGGTCAGAGGTGAGGGCTTTTGGAAGGTGACTGGATCATGGGGATCCATAATCCACCGATGAGTTCAGAGATAAATGTGCTATTAGGAGGTAAAGGCTGGTCATAAAAGGTGTGTCACCCAGAGGGGGAACCTGGAAGGGTAGATCTCCATCCCCAGCGCCTCCCTCCGCTGTCTGCATCCTGGCACCTTTGCCTCCCCATGCCCCTCTGCCATCCTGTTTCTGCTTGGAGCTAGGCAACCATGGGCTGAAACCATGAACCAAAATAAACTTCTCCTTTAAAGTGTGGGCATCAGGTATTATGTCCAGTGCGGGAAAAGAGCTAAGACAACATCCCAATTAAAATTGGCAACATTTTTAAGAACTTGGGAAACATCTTTGTAAAATTTCTATAAAAGAATTAAGGTGCATAAAGTGCTAAGTCAAGTTTGAAAAGGGGGAGATCGCCCTCCCACATTAAGCCACACTGGAAATAATAGTAATTAAAAATCATGTGATCCTGGCTTAGAAATAGTCAAGCAAACCAAGGGAATCAAAGAGCAAGCTTAGTGAGACAATTAGATCTCAGGTTTGAGCCCAACCTCTGAGCACCTTAGCAATATATTAAGACCCTGCCTAAAAGTTTAAATATAGGAGTCAGGGTGGAGACTGGACGTGCATCTTAATTTGAAGGAGTTTAAGCCCCCGCACTGGGGAAGAAAGGCATTAAAATATGCTTGGTGGTTGTCATGGCTTGTATCTAGATGTCCTCCCAAAGCTTCAGGTGGTCATAGGTAGGGCTTTTCAGAGGTGGCTGTGTGATGCTAGGATTAAGAGTGTGTGATTACTAATTAGTCCATTGAATGGTTTGGCATAGTTGTGGGTTCGGGTAGTGGGAAGGTCCACCCTGGGTGTGGGGGATACCACCTAGAAGGCAGGGAGCCTGGGTGGATATAAAGGGACAGAAAGAAAGCTTTTCACTACTTCACTGCTTTGCTGCCTCCTGTCTGAAAAGAACTGTTTTTCCTATGCAATGCCCCCCTGCCATGCCACCCCACCTTGAAGACACCCAACTATGAACTGAAACCTCTACAAACTGTGAGCTACAATACATCTTTCCTCCTTCAACTTTGGGTGTAGGGTATTTTATCTCGGCAATGAGAAAAGTAACTAAGACAGTGGCACACATCTGTAATCTAGCTTCTCAGGAGGCCGAGGTAGGAAGATCACAGGTTTGAAGCCACCCTGGGCAATTTAGTGAGAACTTGTCTCAAAATATAAAATGTGAAAAGGCAGAAATTCTGGGGATGTAGCTCAGTGCAAGGTCCTGGGTTCAATCTCCAGTACTGAAAAAAAAAAAGAAAAAGTATATAAAAAAGTAAGAGATTAATAATTCCATATATACAGATATACAAATCAGCAGGAAAAGGGACAGATGGGAGTGGGGGAGCAAGCAGAGATACAAACAGGCAGTTTTCAGGAGTGGGAACTCTAGTGCTAAATGTGAGGAAAGCTGGTCATATTCTCCAGTCCTCAGACTTTTTAAGTGGGGTGGCCACTTAAAAGAAAGCTCTTATTTAGTGGTAATATATTTTTTTCCACTCTAGGTCCACTATAATAGTGCACTAGTCCCCTTACTTAATTGCTAACTTGACTTTGTATGTAAGTCCCCTTCTTACCAGCCAACAAATGCTAGAAATCAGATTCTGATAGGACAAAGAAAACCAAATGAAGCTCCTTTATAAATGTGCATGTAGCGGGGCGTGATGACACACGCCTATAATCCCAGCACTCGGGAGGCTAAGGCAGGAGGATCGCTGAGTTGGAGGACAGCCTGGGATACATAGTGAGCTCAAGGATAGCCTGAACTGCAAAGCCAGACCTCGTCTCAGTGGTGCATGGGTTAGGGTTCTAGGGCCTGGACAGCCAGTCAGTCTGTGACAGACTCCAGGGGAAATGTCTTTCTGCCGTCCAATAAAAGTACCCAAGAAAGAAGGGCTCCAGACCCTCAATTCTCTCCCACAGGGCTTCTTTCCGTCCTCTCCTTTCTTCTCTCACAAATAAAATGTCTTTATTTTCCCTTTTAAACTTAGTTCTTTTCATTGTTTACTGAGGCTGGGTTTGTGAACCCAAACGAGCTACTCATACAGCACAGCGGAGGTGCGGTGTGGTACATTCTCACAGCATGACAGATGCGCTATGGCCCAGAAATCCTATCCCAAGAAGGTTCTTCCTACATTCATAGAGGACAGAAGGAAAATGTGCCTGGCAGTATGTGGGTGATGGGGCCAACCTGATGTGATCACTGTGAGGATGAGGTGGATAATAAAAGTTCTGTCACCTGTATTCCCAGCACTCTGGGAGGCTGAGGCAGGAGGATCTCAAATTAGATCCCAGGCTGGAAAAATGTCTCAATTTAGTGAGAGTCTGTTTCAAAAAAAAAAAAATTTTTTTTTTGAAAGGGACTGAGAATGCAGCTCAAAGTGAAGGTCCTGGGTTCAATTCCCAGAACTGAAACAACTCCCCCAAAATGTGCTGAAAGCTCATAGTGATGTAACATGCAAGCAGCTAGTAGAAAAAACAAATGGGATACACGTGGAAAACATTAGTGTTGAGTGGAAAAATGTAAAAATGTAAGCAACAGAATGAGTTTGCTACATGACACGGTGTTTATAAATTGCAAACACATCCATCCACATAGGGGATGATGCCATGTGTGGTGCAGGCCAGGCACGATTCGGGGAAGCAGATCGAGCACACTGCTGTGAGGTCGGACAGAATGCGGACAGGAGGGATGGTAGAAAGTGAAGGAAGGAAAGTGTATTAACACAGCTTGAGAGGAGCCTCGATCATAGTGATGAGGTGTCACAAACCGTGAAGTCACAGTTTCTTCATAAAATGGGACAGATCAGAAAGCAAGAAAGGGTGAGGCGGTCGCTGGGAGGGTCTAGGTTCAAATCTCAGTTCTCCTATTTCCAAGTGCTTGGGACTCTAGCACACCATCCATTCATTCCTGCCACAAATATTTGTTTGTTTGTTTATGTATTAAGCTAAATACAGCTGGGGCATGGTGTGGCTGAGACAGATGGAAAGAGGCTGAGAGAGGGCCTGAGGGTGGGAGAAGTAGGGAGGCGCCCGACATTCGGAGTGTTGTAAGCCCAAGCCAAAGACTCAGAATTTATTCTAACTACCATAGAAACCCCTTGGAAATTTTAAGTAGGGGAAAGTTTTAACAGCATTAAACTTTTTATTTATTTATTTATTTTTGTACTGAGGAACGAACTCCAGTCCTTGTGCTTGCGAGGCGGGCGGCAGAACCCCTGAGCTAAATCCATAGCCCAGCATTAATTTGTATTTAATGGTGAGGATTGAATCTGTACAGCCTCTAAACTACACCCCTAATCCCTAAAAAAGTTTTATTTAAGAGTAACACAGAAGGCTGGACATGGTGGCGCACGCATATGTAATCCCAGCACTCGGGAGGCTGAGGCAGGAGGATCGCTGCGAGTTCGAGACCAGCCTAGGCTACATAGTGAGTTCCAGGTCAGTCTCAACTAACAAAAAAAAAAAGTAAGACAGAAAAACATGTATTTAAAAGGATCACTTTTGTTGCGACTTGTCTGCAGGATAGTGAAAGCCACATAAACTCTGAGCCTCAGTTTCCACATTTGCAAAGTGGCAAAAACACCCCGCCCACGGGCCCTGGTGAGGTGGGAGAACTGTCTGTTCTCAGCAGTTCCCTTTCGCACTGGAGGATCGGGCTGGGAGGCAAAAGACGGCTGCTCTGGCCTGGGTGACTGGAGCTCCTGCAGTCCTGCGAGCCCATTTGGGACTCAAGGATAGCACTCGAGAGCGGCCCCCGCTGTCGCTCGCTGAGGCGGCCGC